TCTGTACAAGTAAAGTCCATGTTTTATTTTATTCATTATATACTAATTATCATCCAGTACCACCAAAAAGTCACTCCACCAAAAAGTCTCTAGAAGGCTGTTTAAAATGAATGGCTGAAATTCAGCACTGAAGTCATGTGACACGAGCTCAGCCTTCTATTTTCAGAGGACATTTGCCCAAAATGCTATATGGATTTATTCATATATGTCACATATCCATATATTCCTTATGGATTAGCATATTTAATTATTATTTTCCTGATATGAATTATTGATTGTCCATAATATCATATGAAATTGCTTACAGAATTCATTATTGTCTAGAGAGCTTTGGCATCCACCGTGCAAGCTTAAAGGATATAACCAAGTAAGGAATATAAGAAATATATTAGGAAATGCTGCTGCTCATTTTAAAAATGCACACATTGTTTAGAGAGCACTCTTGTGATAACCTGAGGCATTGCAAGGCTGATAAAGAATCTAGAAGTAAGTACTCTAGAAACTGAAGTGTAAAAAAATAAACTACCAGGCATTTAAACCAAAAAGATTTTTTTTAAAAAAAATATTGAATGTTTAATAAAGTTATAGGTCTTTTGTTGTGGGGATTTGATCTCTTTAACTAGCTCACACTAAAATGAAGTACCAGGAAAATCTGGCATTCTGTATAAACACAAAAAGATTCTAATTATAATTCTACAAAATGTCTGTGTAAATCATCACTGATTGCAGTAAAATGTTGTTCCATTCTACATCATCATGTACTCTCTGCCAGTAGATTCAGCTCTTGTAATTATTTTAGGTATTACACCACCTAATATTAAATATTTCATACTAAAGACTTAAAAGCATTTAGGCTTTTTATTGTCTTAAGACTACCTCTTGATTCGTTGAAATTAAAAGGCATGATTGTCATCTGTTCCCTGTTCCTCCACTTGATTGCAACAGTGTGTATCTGCAAAAACTGTGCAGGATATTTTATTTCTCTTTCATAAACTTTCAGAGAGCTTTTGGCAGTAGGAAAGTCATATTGGAAAAAAGATAAAAATACGTTGTTGTTCTTTAGTGATTTTCTGTGTAAATGCACTGATGAACTGCATTTTTGTCCTGCAATCCTAAGAATTTTGTGACAGAAATCATCTACAATAGGGATGTCAAACTGCCGGCCCATGAGCCAGATGCGTCATGGCGAAACCGTGCCCACCCCATTGTTGGCAATGGAAAAAAAAGTTGTGATACATCGCGACACGTCACATGACGTTGCGAGTTTGACAACCCTGATCTACAATGTGGCCAATGCTCTGTGTTGTTTTGGGTGGATTTCTTCATATCTATTGAAGCTGAGTGGAAGTCTCCCATACTTCCATCTAGCTGCGAAGGTTGAGGATGCAAGGCTCAAACTCCATTTTGCAAAATCATTTTTAAATCTTCTTTCCTATGTCTTTTTTCTTTTGCCACAACTGTGGAAGCAGTCTCTGACTAAGCAAAAAATAAATGTATACAATGGTTTAATTCTTTCTTAATTTATCTGATTCTCTAATTCCATAGATGTATAAAAATGTGGCTTATTTATATAGAGCAGTGGTTCTCAATCTTTTTAATGCTGCAACCCCCAACTGATCATAAGTCGAGGACTACCCAACTTGTCGTAAGTCGAGGACATTCTGTGACCAGGAACGCCGCACATGCGCGGTGCCGCCCCCTGTGCTGGCCGAGGCGTAGCTGGCAAGCAGCAGAGATGGAGCAGGCCGATCACTGGCTGGGCCACCAGCTGGCCCAGCCCAAGGGAGGTATGGCACCCGCCGGGCCGCACGTGCGCCAGCAACCCTCCCTGCGCCTGCCGGCCTCCCACCTCCCACCCCGGCCCTCTTTTACTTACACTTTTAGTAGTTACTCAGCAGGGAGGGGTGGAAACTTCCAGACAACTCGCCTTCACTGCAGACAACTTGCAGCACTGTTTGCAGAATGGGACTTTTGGCAGGCTCAGCAGGGCAGAGACAGCCCGGACAATTCCTATTGGCTTTTGAAAGCCAATAGAATTAGACTCTATTCAAGAGAGTCTATTCTATTGGCTTTCAAAAGCCAATAGAATAAAAGGGAGTAGCACAGCTAAGAAAAAGGGGAAAAAATGGCGGACTGCGTTGTTTGGCGACCCCCATGAAATGGTCGTTCGACCCCAAATGGGGTCATGACCTACAGGTTGAGAACCGCTGATATAGAGGTAGTTCTTGACTTATGACTAGACCCTGACCATTTCAAGTTATGACAGTCCCCCCAAAAGGAACATATGACCCGGATTTGAAGTTCTCCCCCTGGTCACGATTGCATCTTGGGAGCTCAGCAACCAGCCTGCATTTAAAGCCATTTGCAGTGCTCCACGGTCACATTATTGTAATTTATGACATTTTTGTTGAAAACTAGAAATTTCTTCCATTTTTGTAAAAAAAAAAAATCCATAGTGAACAATGAGTTTGCCTAATGACCATGGCATTCATTTTGTGATAGCTGCAAAAAAGTAACAAAATTGGGTGTGGTCATGTGGTGATCCACTTAACACCCATAACAACTAGTAAGTACTTGGATATGATACTATCAAGAAACACCTGGGCTGTAAACTGGAAATTTGCAAAATGCCATTAATTAAATATTGACAAGAAAACTACATGAACGTGAGGTCGCTAAGAGTTGAAATGTAGGTGTGGGAAAGTTGACTTTGCATCCTTCTTACGTATAGAAAAGCAGCTCAAAGATGCAGTTTGATACTGCAAAACTGTACAAAGATATAAAGTTTAAAAAGTTTGTTCTTTCTCTTCTTATATATGGCCTACTCCAGACTGCATTGGATTTAAATAAATTAAGGGAATATACTATAATATAGGAAGAATATTTATTTATTTATTTTTATCTTCGAACTTGGCCCTTGGATTTTATTTTTTTAGCAACAAAGACAAGCTTTACAATACTGGATGATTTTGTTTTGTTTTGTTTTAAAGTGGAAGATATAAACTAGAGTACTTATCACTGGTAGGTTCAGTACTCTTCAGATATTCCAGAAATGCAAATGTTGCAGTCTGTCTAGCTCTCATATGCCTTAATCCACCATGTGCTGAAAGATAACAGTGTTATACCTGTTTAGTAGAAAATACCATCTTCTTTGGTATGGGTTTATACATATAACAATAAAATCCTTAGTGAGACAGTGATTATAAGTCCATCTTCCTCAGTAGAAGAGAGTCTTATGTACATCTATTTTAGCTGCCAAATAAAGCTGGGGAATCTGATATTATCTGTTACTGGCAGTATCAATAGATAAGCTTCATTAGTTGAACTGTTGATGCTCATGTTTTTCCATGAGATGGAACAGTAAGAATGAACATTTTTTTAAATATGGCCATCCCAGTCTGGGTGCATCTCGATTTTGCATAACTTAACAAAAAGCTATAGTGGTACCTTGGTACCACTAAATTTTTGAAACATTGATTTTGGTACTCAACATATTTTGACATGGAAATTTGGTCCTGGTACTCATCATTTGTTTGATACTCAATGCACAAGCTACAGCTCATTGGTGTTGACTGTCTGGTGACTCACTATATTATTTCTTATGGGAAATATTTGTTTGGTACTCATCATTTTTGATACTGATTGCACCTCCCAGAACCAATTAACAATGAGTTTGAGGTACCACTGTAATTTCTTATTGACATGTAAGAGAGGAGGGTTTATTCCCATCATAGACCAGCATGAGGCTCCACATGTAAAACAAAGGAGATTCTTACAAAAGTCTTCCTGCAATATCAGGAACTATTTTTAAAACTGATCATATCTCATTCTGATATGCATCCCATTATGCCTTCCCACAAACACAAAGGACAGCTTTCTGGGCAAAAATAAATAAATATCCAGGGCTTGATTTGCCAGTATGTTCTTCCCTTTGTGCTAGTAAGTACTTGGGTGGGTTTAGGTGTATATAAAAATGCAAGTTGCAAAGACAGCCCCATTCAGTCCTGAACCCGTTGTACATTCATGGGGAAGCATGAAAGCAGAACAAAACAGGAGTGGTGGCCCCATCGGAGTCAGCTAGTGGTCATGTGCATGTGTGTGCATTTGTGTGTGTGTTAACAGAGGAAATTTCATTTTTGAATGAATAAAAAGAACTTTAAAAAAAACCAACAAATCACAGGTTGTGCATGCCTGCCCTTCCTGAATCTGGTTACAATTAATGCCTTTAAATTGGCTGTTTTTTATTACCTTGGTAGTTCATTCTCTTTTGCTTCCCCTTCGAGGTTCGAATCCCATAAAGGGTGTGGCTAACTGAAGAGAGCAGAATGAGCTCGAAATGGCTATCTTAGTCTCCCAATTTAATTCTTTAATTCTTTGTCAGAAAAAGAAATTTGGATTTGTAATGTTTCGCAGATGCGACTTGAGCCTGCTTAACACCTCTAGTTGGGGGCTGCAAGGCAAAAGAGATTGTAAAAAGTAAAATTGCAGTGTAGCAGTTAAAAAATGTCAAGGTGTAATCAATTAGACATCTGTCTGAAAAACTTCCTATATATATATATATATATATATATATATATATATATATATATATATATATATATGTATGTATATATATATTATATACGCATATATATATACATATATATATATATATATATATATATATATACATATACATATATACACACACACACACACACACACACACACACACAGACACATATGCATACATACACAGAGAGATGTGTCTGTAAGTTTGTGTATGCATCTCTCTCTCTATCTCTCTCTCTCTCATACACACACATACACACAACACACGCGCGCACACACGCGCACACACAAACATTCTTCCCCCCTCCCCTCCGTTGGTTTCCCTCCCACCCCCCGGTTTTCCTCAGCTCCAGCACCACCAGCACCAGCCACCAGGACAAGTTGCTACGGAAACGGCTGCATGGCAACCGGCTCTGAGCCTGGGGTCCGTCTGCTGCCACTGCTGCCGCTGCTGCTTGCCGCCGCTGCCGCTTCTCTGGCTGGCTCATTCTCCCGCGCGCTTCCTTCCTCGCTAGATGGTGTGCGAGACACCCGAGACTAGACACGCTCCGGACGCGGCCAGCGAGAAGCTGAGCGAGCGAGAGAAAGCCAAGAGGCGGCAGCGGGAGCAAGAGAGCCGGAGAAGCGAAGAGGAGGACGTGCAGCTTGGCCAGGACAGAGGAAGGCGGCTGCTTTCTGCCTTCGCGTCTGCCCGCCTGTTTCGCCGGGGTCGACGCGGAACTAGAGCCGCGAGCCGGAGCGCAGCCTTCGCGAGGGCATGGACGTGATGCTCCTGGTCCAGGGCGCTTGTTGCTCCAACCAGTGGCTGGCCGCGGTGCTGCTCAGCCTCTGCTGCTTGTTGCCCTCCTGTCTCCCCGCCGGCCAAAGTGTAGACTTCCCCGGGACGGCTGTGGAGAACCTGGTGGTCCGGAAAGGGGACACGGCGGTGCTGAGGTAGGGCTCGCTTCAGCCTCCCATTCAGCGGGAAGCTTGGCCGGGTTATGTTTGGCGCGCTCCCTTCCTCTGCTTCTCTTCCCCCCCCCGCCCCGTCCCCAGGTCTCGGTTTTGGCGTTGCGTGGAAGCTCCACATGCACTGGCGCAGCTCATTCCCCTCCTCCCCGGGAAAGCTGAGGCGCTTTCTCTGCCTCCCAGATCTGCGCCATCGAAATGGGCCAAGCCGTTGGAGCCAGAGCCTTTGGCCGGCAAGAGAAGAGAGGGGAGGGGGTGCTTTCTTCTACTTTCAAACTAGTCCCCCTCCCCGTCGAAGGGGGGACAGTGGCTGTCGCTTGCCGCCCCATCCGCGAGCCCACTCCCTGCCTGTTCTCCAATCGCCTCCCCCTGCCTGTCCAGAGGGTGCAAAAGCGCTTCTCTGTGCCCCCCCTCTCTTTTAATAGTCTCCCTCCTTTCGGTGGTACTTTTAGCTCAACTTTGGAAGCATCTCCTTGTTGTGCTCGGTGGAATCGCCTGCTCTCTCTCTCTCTTTTTCCCCCACTGAGCAGACAGAGAAAGAGAGAGAGAGATGCTACTACGCAGTCAGCTCTTCCCCTGGAATGAGTTTGCAGCTTCTTCCTAAGGCATGTTTCTCCCACCCCTGGTAAGCTTTGAAAGCCGTAAGGGCTCATAGAAGAGCAGCTTGCCCCCCCTTCCACCCTCCCCCCGTCCATCTCCCCCCCTCCATTTGTAGCATGGCAAGCAAAGAGGCTGCAGTGCAGTGCCAGCCTTTTGTGCAACCCTTTCTTCTCTGGGGAGGCAAATGCTCTGCTGGTACCCAGAGTTCTGATCTGTGTGATGGGAAAGAACTGCCTTCTTCCCTCCCTCAGCTGAACGTCCCAACCGGATCCTTGCTGCATTAACACACAGCTAGTGCAGCAGGATCATGCATCCAGGCATGACGGTTTGGGAAGTGTATGTTTTGAGAGATTTGATTTCGGGATGGAACTCTAGTAATAAGGGTTAACCGGTGCAGAACATACTGGCTTAGCTACTGCTGTTTTTCCTCGGAGCAGATGTATGTGCTACATAATTGTATAACTGGGCTGTTCCAACCAGCTCTGAACTGAGCCTGCAGAATAGAGGAAACCCTCTTTTAGAGCTTTCCCCGGGAAGGTGATTTAAGAACTCGGGCTATCACTTATCTAAGAAATGCAGAATCCCTGATACTCAATTATTGAATGTTTTGAAACTATAGAAAATAGTAGAATAGGTACTTGTGGCAGAATCTGAAGGGTTCGTTTTTGTTTTTTTTTACTTAAGCGGCAGATGCTTGGAAAGGTTCTGATTTCCTTCTTAGAATGCTAAGTTTGTTGATGGAAGTTGGAATAGAAATGAGTGATGTTCAAATTACTTTCTGTGGGAGACCGCCTGATGCTTGCATGTAACAGGATCTGCAGTGCAACCTTCCTGTGCCTGTACAGAGTATTGCTCAGCAATAACAGTTTCTTGAGAAGCATACATGTGGCTTAACATCCTTGGCACAGAGCCAAAGACTTTTTACAGAGAGAGAGGGAGAGAAAAAAAACCCAGGCTAGACTGTTATGTGAATTGGGGTTTTTTGTTTAAATATTATTGGAAATCTGCCTATATTGAGCAATTGATTTCTTTTGAAGGGGCCTTTGAATTCTACATGGTAACAGAAGATTATTTACCAATAGTAGATCTATTTCCTCTATAATTTTAAAAAAACTGTTTTGAGTTCATTAAATCTTCAGGCTACCCACCCACCCAATCCTTTCACTATAAGTTTTAGCTGGCATATTTTCCATGTTTCTAAACCAGTCCTCCAGGGGCAAAAACAGGTTTTGTTATTATTTACGATATTAATAATATCAAGTGAAAAAAAAATTCTGTTCGTATCTTAAACATTCAGAGGTTGCCCTCTGCAGTACTTTGAGCAGAAGCAGCATGGTTATAAGATATTGCTTGTTTTGGGTGAAGCAGGTACATAAAGTAACTTGATCAGAAGCACCACTTTTGACATGGATTGCCCCCCCTCAACAAAAGTTAGAAGAATATAGAAGCTATTTCTTCATTGTTTCAAATTCTGAAATTGTCAGCCCATCCCTATTTATTTTCCAGGCTGTTTTCATCTGGCTGAGGCTGAGAACACATTCAGTGTCTATGCACTGCTGGCTGACACATTTTTCATCTGTGGTAATATGCTATAGTTACACTCCATGGTTTTAGAATACATTGGAATGTACTGTTCTTGGTTTCCTTTGCTACAGACAGAAAGTAAATGCAACCTGGGTCTCTTATTTACAGTACTTCCAATGTAAAGACCGCCACGGATCAGAGTTGATGAGCTGAATTTTCTGTTGAGGTTAGAACTCAGAAAAGTGCTAAGTGAAAATCCTTAAAAAGCCTTTCAATCCACTTCCATCCTCAAGAACTTTACATTTAAACTAAGCCACTGATCATGCCTTTGGATCGCTAGATTATGCTTCTGCCACTAAAACATATGTATTCCTTTAGTCCTGTTATGAAGCTAAATACATTATATAAATGCAGTTGGCACTTTAGGGTCAAGCAATCATTTTCATCTCATACTTTGGAGAGCATGAGTAACAGCTTTTGAAAGAAAAGATACCAGTGAGACTAGGATCCACTACACAATTTTCATTAAAAAAAAAAACACCCCCCCCCCAAGCAACTGAGTATAAATAGAAAAGGCAATATTAAAGCTGCTAGAAAGATTGGATGTTTCTTAAGAAATAGAATGTTTTGTACACTTATATTTTCTTTTGTATTTCTTGTGAAATAAGAGTTGACTTATGTGAGATCAATTTTGTGACAAAACTGGTTGTTAACTATCAGATACAGACTTACCAATGATTTCTTATACTTATGACAGGCTGGGACAGCTTAAATTAAAAATAATCCTTCAAACCTTCAAATTTACATTAATAACACCTTAAACTATCTCTTGCAAATATGAAGAGGGCAGAAGGAATGGATATTACAACTGTTTTTATAGATTTGTTATTTTATTCAGACAAATAGAACATATTTTATTTCAATTGTTCCATACCATTTTACATTAAATATATTTGGTTTGCAGAAAGAAAGGTAATAAGCAGAAGGGTATATTATGTCAATTCTTTTCAATATTTAGGTTCTATACATTAAAAAGAATTTAACTGATTATATAGCATGCATTCATATGCAGTTTTTTTTCTCTATTCAGGGTAAAATTGTATTAAATGGAAAGAGATGCTGTGCATACTCAACCAATTGGGATACCTCTAATTATAAACCTACACGTCTGCTAGTAACAAGTAATTAGGATCTTTTTGAAAATGCTGAATCTCTGAGTCATTCTTCTGGTGTTTTGAGTCAGCAGTTTGCTTGTTTAATAAAAAGATGGTTATGTTAAAGAGATACAGTACACTGGTGCTTTTAATTATTTTGTTACCTAATAGCAGAACTCTTACAGAACTTTTTAGGTGTGTCATATTGACATTTACATAAATGGTGGCAACAGAATTATGAGATATATATACAAGTGAACAAACTAACCCAACAACTTTACAGAATAAAATTTGGTGACATGGCATTTTATATTAGAAGTATAGATTGGAATCTTATTTTATTTTAGAGGTTAAGCTGCTTCCTAGCTTTTCATAAAGGCTTCAGCCCAGTTGAATAGGAAGCCCTACTGAACGGAGTGCAATGTGTTTCTGAATAAACATGTCAAGAATCACATAGCTTTGTTTCTGTAGGGCTGAATAGCAATCCAACACTTAATAGAACTGAATAGAATTGAAATAAATTCTAATTTACAAAGAAAGGAGTTGAGTAACCATAGATTTTCAGCAAAGCTTACCATTTTTAGGCAGAATTGCTCATTCTGATGAAGTTTAGTTATAGGCCTCCATGCTGAGAATTTGAAAAATTATAATGGCAACACATCCAGAGGCACCAGAAGAAAAAGCCTGTAATTCTATAAGTGATTCAACATGGTGGACTGGGAAATGGGTTCCTAGACATTCTTACTAAATGAGGGTTTCACTGAAAACCTGAATTGAATAACATTTTATTATAGGCTGATGAAATGTCAAAATCCTTTTTTAATATATATATATATATATATATATATATATATATATATATATATATATATATATATATATATATATATATATATATATATAGTTTAATAGTAAAAATGTAACCAGGCATGTGATGAACACATTACTATTTATATACTCTGGGTCATTCTAATTAAATTTATAGTGGGCACGTGTATTTTGCTTTCAACATTTTGACCCAGATTTTCTCTTCAAAGAAGCAATTAAAAGAGTGGTTGTAGTGGTGAAGGTACTGGCCTGAAAACCAAGAGACTGTAAGTTCTAGTTCCACTTTAGCTATGAAAGCCAGTTGGGTACTTTGGGTCAGACACTCTCTCTCAGCCTAGCCCTCCTCACAAAGTTGTTATGGGGAAAAGAGGAGGAGAAGGAGTATTCTGCCACCTTGAGTTATTTATAAAGTAATAAAGGCAAGATAAAAAATAATTAAATAAATAAAAGTTACATTACAATGTGCTTATTAATATATAATAATAAAGGTTTACATAAAAGAAGTAGATCACAAGTTTCACTTGGGTCTTTTTATTAAACAGTAATTTGGAGGACAGTCATAGCATAAGGCAGTGGTTCTCAACCTGTGGGTCGGGACCCCATTTGGGGATGAACGACCATTTCACGGGGGTCGCCAAACAACGCAGTCCGCCATTTTTCCCCCCTTTTCCTTAGCTGTGCTACTCCCTTTTATTCTATTGGCTTTTGAAAGCCAATAGAATAGACTCTCTTGAATAGAGTTTAATTATATTGGCTTTCAAAAGCCAATAGGAATTGTCCAGGCTGTCTCTGTCCTGCTGAGTCCACCAAAAGTCCCATTCTGCAAACGGTGCTGCACCAGTTGAGTAGTCCTCGACTTACGACCGGTTGAGTAGTCCT